TATATGTTTTTGCATTCAATTTGCCACAATTTATTGAGAATTTTTGCATCTATATTCATTAGAGATATTGGCCTGAAGTTTTCTTTATTTGATGTGTCTTTGCCTGGTTTTGGAATCAGGGTGATATTGGCCACATAGAATGAGTTTGGAAGTGCTGCCTATTTTCCTATTTCTTAAAATAAATTGAAGAGTATTGGTTTTAGTTCTTCTTTAAAGGTCTTGTAGAACTCGTCTGTCCTGGGCATTTCTTGGTTGCTAGGCTTCTGATGGTGTCTTCTATTACATCACTTGAAATTGATCTGTTTAAATTGTGTATATCATCCTGATTCAATTTGGGCAAATCATATGACTCTAGAAATTTTTCAATGCCTTTGATATTTTCTATTTTATTAGAATACAATTTTTCAAAATAATTTCTAGTTATCTTCTGTATTTCTGTAGTGTCTGTTATGATATTTCCTTTTACATCCAGTATGTGAGTAATTTGAGTTTTCTCTCTCCTTCTCTTCATTAGCATGGCTAAGGGTTTGTCAATTTTATTTATTTTTTCAAAGAACCAACTTTTTGTTTTGTCAATTTTTTCAATTGTTTCTTTTGTTTCAATTTCATTGATTTCAGCTCCGATTTTAATTATTTCCTGTCTTCTACTTCTTTTTGTATTGATTTGTTCTTCTTTTTCTAGGGCTTTGAAATGTAATGTTAAGTCATTTATTTGTGCCTTTTTCTTCTTTTAAGGAATGAAATCCATGCAATGAACTTTCCTCTTAGTACTGCCTTCATAGTGTCCCAGAGATTTTGATACATTGTATCTGTGCTCTCATTTACCTCTAAGAAATTTTTAATATCCTCTTTGATGTATTTTGCAACCCATTGTTCATTCAGTAGCATATTATTTAGTCTCCATGTGTTGGAGTAGCTTTTATTTTTATTTTATCATTGATTTGTAATTTCATTCCATTATGATCTGATAGAATGCAGGGAAGTATCTCTATTTTTTATATTTGCTAAGAGTTGCTTTGTGGCATAATATATGGTCTATTTTAGAGACGGATCCGTGTGGTGCTGAGAAGAAAGTGTATTTGTTCATGAAAGGATGGAATATTCTATATATGTCAGTTAAGTCTAAATTATTAATTGTATAATTGAGTTCTATATTTTCTTCACTCAGCTTTTGTTTGGACAATCTATCCAGACATTTACATTTTGGTCACAATGTACACAATGTTCTGCTCATGGTTTCTTACAATTTTCACTGGGTGGTCTACATTCTTTTCAAGATTATATATTTTGTCTTCTTTGTCGGAGATCCTGTCTTCCAAGTGGTCTAATCTGTTGGTGATGCTTTCAATTGAACTTTTAATTTGGTTTATTATTTCTTTCATTTCAAGGATTTCTATTTGTTTGTTTGTTTTTGTAGAACCTCTATCTCCCTATTCAAGTAATCTTTTGCTTCCTATATTTGTTTATGTAGCTCTTTGTGGAAATGATTTTTGCTGCCTGTATTTGCTCTCTTATGTCATCCTTTAATTTACAGAAAATTTTAATTTTGTACACCCTGAACTCCTTCTCTGTCATTCGTTCTGCTGTGCTTGTCATAGACTCTTTTTAAAAAAAAAAAAATACTTATTTTTAAAAAATAAATGACAGTGAAATGTATTACAATTCTTATTACACATATACAGCACAATTTTTCATATCTCTGGTTGTATATAAAGTATTTTGACACCAATTTATGTCTTCTTACATGTACTTTGGATAATGATGTCCATCACATTCCACCATCCTTGCTAACCCCCTGCTCTCTCCCTTTCCCTCCCACCCCTCTGCCCTATCTAGAGGTCATCTATTCCTCCCATGCTCCCTATCCCTATCCCACTATGAATCAGCCTCCTTACTTCAGAGAAAATATTTGGCATTTATTTTTGTGGGATTGGCTAACTTCACTTAGCATTATCTTCTCCAACACCATCCATTTACCTGCAAATGCCATGATTTAATTCTTTTTTATTGCTGAGTAAAATTCCATTGTGTATATATGCCACATTTTTTTTATCCATTCATCCACTGAAGGGCATCTAAGTTGGCTCCACAGTTTAGCTATTGTGAATTGTGCTGCTATAAACATTGATGTGGCTGTGTCCCTGTAATATGCTGTTTTTAAGTCCTTTGGGTATAGTCTGAGGAAAGGGATAACTGGGTCAAATGGTGGTTCCATTCCCAGATTTCTGAGGAATCTCCATACTGCTTTCCATATTGGCTGTACCAATTTGCAGTCCCATCAGCAGTGTATGAGTGTACCTTTTTCCCCACATCCTGGCCCATTTCACCAGCCCAAGAATGGGTCAGAATGGAGGAACATCCTGCCACCTGCATTGCTACTGTGAGCCTAGATTCATCAGCAAATCAAGGACAAGATCCACCTTCTGTTGTTTTCAAATCTCCAATGCCTTGCATTGAGACAGACATGTTGAATGTTGTCTAATAAAAGCCCTAATTCGAGGTATTTTTGTTTTGTGTTTTGGTTGTGTACAGAATTTTCTAGTAATGGATAGTATCTGGACGTTAGGATAGAGATCTTGGTTCAGCCTTTCTGGGTTCCAATGTCTTCCCTTAAGAAGAAGGAGATGGACAAAGAGGTTATCTGGGACATTCCAGCTTTAGATCCTGTGACTTGAATATCTATAACTGGACTTCATCAGGGAGAGATCACTGGTTTCTTAGGAAGATGAAAGGGATTTCAACCCATGAACCTTATTGCCAAGGTTTAATTCATGTAGGAAACTATTCATTCCACCATGAGCTACAGGCTTGGAGTCAGGTTGCAGATGCCATAATCACTCTGTCAGTAAGTCGAGCTCATGCAGCACATCCCTAGTATCAGCACTTATGAAGCTGGAGTGGGATTTTTTTTCTGTTGTTCCTGTTCCAAAGCACTTGAATTCAAGTGCTCTGAGCACATAGTTTCTGAGCCCCCAAAGAGAGCCCATGCCCTGAAAGACCAGAGTCTAGCTGTGTTAAATGGAAAGCTGTATCTTAATGGGGGTAGAAGGAAGGCACCCAAGGAGAAATTCAGTATTTATTTTTGAGAAACAGTGAAATTTGTTCCTTGTAACCTGGATCTTATTGTCTCAATGACAAAGTAGCTGAGCCACCAAATCTCTCATGATTGCAGGAAACCTATTAGCTCTAGCTGAATCTCCATTTATCTAACAAACATTATGGTCAAACAATGGTATGATGGTTGGAGAAAGCTTGGCTTTTGGAAAAGATAGTAATATGGGAAGAAGAAGAAGTAGAAAAGGTTTGGGACATTTTTTTCCAGCTCATAAATTGAAGATGAAATCACCATAAATAGCTGCCAATGAAGCCATGCCCAGTAATTCTGTACTAAGGCAAAGCTCAAATGCCAGAGAGGCTTGGCAGATCAGACCTCTGAGGGGAGAAGATCACCTAACACTATTCTAAGCATAGGAAGACACTAGGACAGCCAACAGGAGGCTAAGCTGGGGAATTTGCTTATGAGACTTGCTGGAGACCAAACACATCCACCTCCTCTTGTTGCTAAGGTATTTAAGTCCAGGTGCTCTAGAGCACATAGCCTCTGACCCCTATTCCCCCACAGTAGTCCATGGTCCTGGGACCCCTGAGCCTAAAGAGATAATCATAACATGAGGATGCTGCTGAAAACCTGAGAAGGCATTGAGAGGGTGACAATATTAAAGATGCCATTCTCTGTGAGAAGGAGACCTGCATGGTTCTGAACAAAATTCTTCCTGATTTCCACTGTTCTTGAGAAAGCTCTAGAGATGATGAATGTGAGGAATGAAGGAATGATCTCAGCCTCTGGGTAATACCGAGATCAGAAGACAGGATGAGATTCAGGGCCCAGCCTCTGCAAGGAAAATCCTATCCATTTCTGATTAACTTTGATATTTATGAAGCAAGGCAAGCTAACAGTTTCAAGTCGCAGCAGATTCTGTACACTGATGACATCTGACAACTCAGCTTCAAAACTGGGTTAAATATCATGATGGGAGGACCCAACCAGCTTAGAGGGGATGTGGCTAGGCTTCATGGCTAGTGGAAATGGCCATTTTCATCACCAAAACCTGCAAATCCATCCTGGAAAAGAAGGAACAAGAGAACAGCTCCCAGCAGAGAGTGCTGAGACACAGAGTGAACACAAGCTCTTCTAAGGTCACAAGATGAGTCAGTCACAGACAAGTAATCTGTCTGCCTCAATAAATTTTCCTACTTAGTAAGTTTGGACAGCTCAAAGACAGCTTTGTGCAGATAAACAAGCTTGTCCACAGTGGAACAAGCTAGCAAGGGGTGGCACACTCCGACCCCACATCACGTGTCATTTCCTCCTCCCTGTTTCTATAAAAAGCATCCCCAGAAATTCTAAAGCCCCACATGAATCCATTAATAGACCAAATATGAACAGCCTATTTCAAATAGAAGGCAAAGTTTTAATGTGAATGCTGACTCCGACATACCCTTCAAATTCAGATCTCTCCCTTCTGCCAATCTCTGTCAGTTCCCCAGACAACTCTAAACAAGACAAAAGACTCTGAAGATTCCCATCCCTCCAGTGAGTGAAACTTTGCACCTTTTCAAGCTGATGGCTGCTGCTTCTTTGTCTTCTGAATGACTTCTCTCCCAGAGGCACCTCAGTCCCTTATGCCATAGAGTTCTTAGTAGACTTGCCACATGATTTTTCAGACATATTCAGACATGACAGAATTCCACATATGAAGCCAACTTAGGATGAATGAAAAAAATATATATATATAATAAAAAAATGAAGTGCATAGGATCTACTCAGTAAATGCTGAATTTTATTCATTAATACATAGGTAACTCATCAAAATTAAAAAATGGGGGGGGGGCAGTGTTGAGATCAAACCCAAACCTTTGTACAGTCTAGGCAAATGGTCTACCACTCAGCTATATCCCCAGCCCCACAATAATTTTTTAATCAAAGTACCTCTTCTACTGCACTCTCTGGTAGTACATATACTAAAATTGGAATGGTATAGAGAAAATTAGCACGACTCCTGCACAAGGATGACACACAAAGCAAAATTCATGAAGTGTTCCCGAGTTTTAGGAAATGGAAATGTTAATTACCCCCGATTTGGTCATTACACATTTTATACATGTATCAAAGTATCACACTGTACCCCATAAATATGTATAATTATTCTTGTCAAATTTTAAACAAAAAAAAAAGAAAAGAAAAAAAATTTTTAAACAAATAGTTCCTTTGAATTTAATTAAGAGTCTACCATAGTCTAGGCACTGGGTTAGGCCCTATGGAGAACATCAAGGTATAGTTTGATTTTGACCTTTAGGAAGTATAGAATTGAAAGGAAAAGAAGAAACACAGGCCAACAAAGTACAGAGTTAGGTAGGATGAATGTTAAGCAGAGTGTGGAGGGGAATTTATGAGAGAAGATTCCTTTCTCTCATGAGATGAAGCAGGCAGCATCAGATAGTGTCTGAAGACTGGGAAGAACTTCTAACATTTGATAAAGCAGCAATGCCATTCCAGAGGAAGGGAGAGATCTGGGCAGGATGGGACATGCAGCATTCAGGAACAGTAGGACGGACAGAGAGGTGAGAGGAGGAATCAGAGATAAGACAGGAAAGGAAAATTGAGGCACATTTTTAACTACTTTGAAGACAGGAAAGACCAATTCGAGGGCTGCAGTAGCCATTGAAGTCTGACCATAACCGCTCAGATTAGAATAGTGGGAATGGGGAACAAAGGGAAGGGAACAGTTTGTGGTGGTCAACAAATGCCTGCATAGTGGGCATCTGGGAAAATAAAGGAGGCTTGAAATAGCTGCCTTCTCTGGGTGTGAGGACTGGCCCAGGGCCACAAAGAGTTAGTGACATTGCTCCACATGCCCCTTATCTCCGGTAGGTGCAGGGCTGGAGCGTCTGTCATAAATCTAACCCTGAGTACTATCTGGAGATTGGAGGACAGCTGCATATCTAATTTTAGGTTCATGCTAGAGAAGTAGAGCAGGTTTAATCTCCACAGGAGGGAGGAGTCATAGTGACACCACACCAGGCATCCTACAAATGCATCCTGGAATAGCTCTCCCATAGCCTGTGAGCATTCAGAAGATGATAACTCAGTAGAACTATCCACATCCCCTTGCATGTTATTTCATCTCCTTCCTTGAAGATCCCCTCAAACCCAAAGGTTTTGGTATCTAAGTGAAGCAGAATAGAATTCCCTTAGGTAGGTCTTAGTGACTTTGTGGAGGACATAGTTCATGAGAGAAGATGGAACTGGCAGAAAGTTCCCACCTCCAGCCCTTGTAGCCTGATCCAAAGAAAGCAGCCAAGGATCCAATATTATCTGTATTAATAATGATCGACATGTTCTAGCAAGTCAAAGCTCACAAAGTTCTTATACATTACTTCCTAATGTGCACAACAAACCTAGGAGGTCAAACTTGTTATTCACACTTTGGATCATGTCAAAGTTCAGTTAAGAAAACTAAAGATGACTCTTCAAGAAATCAAGTACAGAGAGGATTCCAATGGGGGTCTTCCAATTATAGCACCTTCGATCCTATCTTGTTGTTGCCATGTGGGGATAAGGTAGAAAACAAGGGAACTTTTGGAAGGAGCTTAAAAGTAGAAGGAATAGATATTTAGCCTTTGAGAGAAAATAGCCATTCACTTGAGGAGAAAGACTCCCTATCATTAAGCAAATTGTTCCACGGGTATGAGCCATTTAGACGGCAAAAGAAATTTAAGCAAACTTTAACTGCTTATGATTGTCTTACATATGGTGGTTTTAGAAATAAAATGCTGGAAATAGACTATGTAAGATACTCCAGTGGTGCTTTAAAAGCCAACGCTCCTGTATCAGGCAGGGTTTAAATCCCAGCTCCTTCACTTAAATCCCAGCAGGTTACTTAACTTCTTTCAGTTTTGATTTTTTTTTCTGTAAATTTGGGGACAGCAATAGCTCCTGCCTTGTGAAGGAGAGAAGAGACTCAAATGAGATAATGCATGCTAAGAGCTAAGCACAGTGCTGGGCACCTAATAAACACTGTGGAAATGACAGCTATATTACAGTGGTTGGTGTGGAAGTTTGATTTTAATTTGGTGTTTAAAAAGGGGCAACACCTTGCCCAAAATTTACAAGATAGACCACACTTCATGCAAAAATATGCATGAAGTCCCTAAAATGTTCCTTTTATTATTGGAAGCACTTCACCTCTATTCATCCCTGGTGTTACTTTCCCATTTTCCTGTGACACCTTGATCATATCTGTTCCTGAATTTGATTCTCTTTGTAGAGGAAAAGAAAGCAATAGAGTTGGCTAACCTTGTATGAGTTTCTGAGATAGGGGCTTCTCAACTTTATTGCCCTATTCCTCCAAGCTTAGCCTCAATGAGGAAGACAATAAAATCTATTCTCCCAGAAGGAAGGGCCTCAGGACTTGATACCCAAGGTTAGCCAGGAGGGACTTCCCTAGGAGTTTCATGGCCCTCAAGTAATGAAGAAGAGATGACTGAATAAGACTGATATGTGAATGGCCAGGAAACATCACATGGATTGTCACATAATGTAAGAGAGGAAATCAAATAGTCCTGAGCTTTTGAACAGCTGCATTATGATAGTATCAGATTAGAAGAGGCCTTAAGAATAGGGCAGAAAGATAAAGTTAATGGATTGGTGACCAAAGGACATGTTAAGACTGCAGATGTCAGCAGCAAAGGCCTGCACACAATGATAAAAACGAGACATATCCAAGTCCTACACTTCCAAGTGGTCACAAGATGATTGAGGACAAGCTGTACTTTTCTGTTGACACCCTGGCACTACCATGGCTTCTACCATGGCTTCTTAGAACTTAAATGAACTCCAGGAAGAAGGGGATAGAGGAGCAAAACTTTGAATGTGCCAAAAAATCACTGGTCTGACCTAAATTTTTGGTAAGACACTGATTCATAATTTTTATTATTAGACATAACTAGAGTTTTAAGACAGAAACAAAATATAACTACAGAAAAACAAAGGGTTATGTTTGTCCCTTTGTTTGTAACTCTGAAGATTTATATCTACTAGATCAGGGTCCCTCCATAGAATTCTGTATCTTTTTATAGTTGTAGATGGGCAGAATATCTTTATTTTATTCATTTATTTTCACGCAGTGCTAAGGATTGAATGCAGTACCTCAAACGTGCTAGGCAAGGCCTATGCTACGGAGCCACATTGGGCCACAGCCTGCTTCATAGAATTTTGTTGACTCCTACTTTGCAATATATTTTAACTCTAGAAGAGATATTTCCAAAATGAAATGTACAAAACACTGACCCCTCGAAAAAGGTGGACAAATCACTTTGAGAGCAGGGTATACTGCATGACCATCTTAGATATCGCTAATATGTAGGTTTTAGAAAAAGCTCTGTGTAGTCGTACAATAAAGAAACTATCTAACTTTGTTTAACCCAGGACTCTCCAACTTATTTGATGAGGACTTTTTTTTTTTTTTTGTCTGAGATATAATGTATTGTACTCCAGGAAACACTGATGTGGAGAGCTGCAGGTAAGAATGGATGATAATAGCCTAAGTGTGGTGACCCAAGAGAAAAATAATCAGGTGGAACATTAGCCTAAGATTGATGCTGGGATGCAGAAAATATCATGGCTGGGCATGGAAATGCTACTTGTCAAATGACCTCATATATCTTGGAAATTGGCTGAATTTCTTCTAATATTCTTTCAAGGTCCTCGCTGAGTCACTCCCATAAATGATGGATCTTAATGGTTCTGAATATCTCTAAAGCCTTTCTTTGTAACCATCTCCCTTTTTAACTTAGTGATTCACTCCACTCCAGCAAGCAGAGGCAGATAGAACAGGCTGAGTTTCATTTTCCAATCATAAAAACACATATCAAGACCAGCACAGAACCCTGATGGACTATTATAAGGTCCAGAACTAATATCAGAAGTTTAACTGACTGGTTCGTTTAAGATCCTGTCATTTCTGGATTGTCTTTTGAGAACTACATTCATGTTCATGTAATGCTGTTAATAAAGAAAAAGAAAGATATACCTAAAAGCTTCAGGCCAAAAAAATAAAAAAAAAAAAAAACAACAAACCAAAACATGGGATTCTGAGTCTGGATTCAAATCTCAACTCTGCTATTCCCTAGCACTGCAATCTTGGATACAGCTCTCTCCACATTTTAGCTTCCTCATCTAAAAATGAGGATAATAACATCCTCATTCAGGGTTATTGTGAGAAGGAGAAGACTGACTCATGGGTAAGTGGTGGGTAGGGATGCAGGTTGAAATAGGATATTGTCAGTGTACCATATATTCAAGAGAAAAGTCACTAGCAGACTGCACTAAAAGCATCATGGCAATAGATGCAGGGCCATCTTCCCATGTGTTGCAGAAAGGGTAGTAGGACGATGAAGGAGCTCTGTACCTGATTGTTCGTGTGTGCTTTCGGGTATAAGGTGTAATGACCTTGAAAAGCAGTTCCATGGCTCCATTAATTCCCAGCATGGCTCCTGTGGTTACTGAGAAAGACAAAAGCACAGTAGTTATTGTCACGGGTGAATGGGATAATACAACTTGGATTGACTCCTTTAAAACATTAGGAGATTATTATATGTCAACTAAAAATAAAATAAAACAACAGCAGGAAAAAAAAAACTTCAAGGGGCACAAAATAACTTAGATGGCTTTGTTTTCCATGTTGGCTACAGTTTCCCTGGCAACTTTAACATATAGATTGCCTCCAACTGAGGCAATGTTCTGACTATGTCTCAGAACCAAAGTGAAAATCAGGTCTTCCTGCACAGAAGTAACTAGCCTAGGAAATTTTTCCCTTTTCAACCAATAGGATGATCATAAAAATATAGTCATAGATGAGCTGGGGATATAGCTCAGGGGTAACACACTTGCCTAACATGTGAAAGGCTCTGGATTCAAGCCCCAGCACCACAAATGTAATATATACATTCATAGACCGAATGATTGAAACTCAAAGGGGAATCTGGTCAGATACCTAAAATTTGACATTACTCCCTTCTCCAGAGATGCCCTAGCCTCTCTCCAATATTC